CTACGCAAGATAGTCGCAGAATCAAGTGACTTGAGCAGTGGAATTCAAGGGTGTCATGAGCCTTCTAACGGGTACCCTTGGATGAAGGGTTTGTGGAGACCTAATAGGTGGGGGGCACCTGTTTCCAGTCTGCTTATTTAGAGCACTAAATATAAATTCAATGCACCACGCTTCGCCGCTGCCTCTGTTTTTTATTCTAGGCATGATCGGACTGTACAACTTCACCTGCAAAGCAGTCAACTTTCAGAGAGCGAAAATGGAGTGTTACTTATTTCTGTTTGTGGACATTCTTAGTTACAAAGCCTAGCAATGATCAGGCGGGTTATTAAAAAACATGGAAAAAAGTGCGCTCGTTCATCTCGTGCAAGTTGAAATTAGTCGGGCAAATACCGATTGAACGACAGGCATCCGGACTCCACGACAACCACCAAGTTAGCACACCCGTGGTTTGGACCAAACGTTGGAGACCTAAACGATAAGCGCACAGTGGAAGCCACTTACCGTTTCCTTGATGGATTTATAGGGAACTACTTGTGGATTATGGTGCCACTCCAACTGATCACAGCATGTAACTGCACCTCCTTTGGTAACGGTTGACTCAAACACCCACTGTTTCGTAAATTTAGACTCCACAAACGGTGTTTAGCCACCAGCCATTCAGATTTTTCAATCATTCACACTGACCGCCCACTACTCTCCCGAGGTCCTACAACCAACAAATGAGGAAGTTACTTCAGATCATCTTGGTTCAGCAATGAAATGTGAAATTAATGCGTTGAAACTTACGGTGGAGCCAAAAACAGTGACATGTACCTGCATTTCGTTAGCTGAACTGTAGAATGTGCAACTAAGTGAGAGTGCGTACGCGAGTGAGTAAGCGACAAGAAAACTTGGCCGCTTTGAAAGGGGTTGTTTAGAAAGGCTGAGTCAGGGAGAAGATTGGTTTTGTGCAATTTAAGGCAATCTATGTGGCAGGGTGCATAAGATTTATCGAATGTGAACAGGTAAACGATCATGTAGGCTGAGAAGAAATAACTTCACCTCTTAACTATCTGCGGCGCAGTTTGGATTGGCTCATACAACCTTCAGGGATTTGAGAAAACAAAAGCGCATAAATGACATTAGATTTTGGCCTCACCATGGGAGTTCTTTCGGCGTCATATGTAATATACAAACACACAAATGGTTTTGAGGTAAACTAAACTTGATAACGCACGAATAAATAGGAACTAAAATTAAAATGAAAAAGCAAAACAACAAACAAGACAACAAAATGAAACGGACACAATGACTAGAGTGTATCACTTGTGTAGCATAGAAGCTCCGGAACTGAAGAACGGAGTTTGAGACCGTTTGGGCTCATTTGTTATAAGTACAGCTTCGAGTCAGGCCAGTATCATTAATTTGGAGTTCAATGTTTTGCGAACTAAATTCTCCCGCTGTGTTTCCCCCGAGCTGAGCCCGTTCTGCTGGTTTGTTGTCATTTTCACAACTGTCTGATGCTGTCACTTCTGACATTCCACAAGTTTGAAAACAAACCTGGTAATATGGGCAGGCCTCGTCACACTACGGATTCACGGATTCATGGACTGATACACAGGGCCGAGGCTTTTGCCCAAGATTCCCGGGTCGGTTTTGTTCTTGTCGGTCAGTGGCTGTCGTTTGCCCGAAAGGCACAAGTGAAAAAGGGTGTAGCACTGCTCTTTGTGTTCTCAGCGCGGGGCAGTATGCCTTACAGCGCGAGGATTCGCATAAATAAATTTCTAATAGTGCTTTAAACTGGGTTCTAGAAGGGGCGTGAACAACCGCTGGAGGAAGGTCATTCTACTCAGCGGAGGCGACGGTACTCCAGGGAAAAGAGATCAAGCATCGCGAGACGCGTTTCATAGTCCACGGATTTGAGGCCGGCAACCATTCTCGTAGCGGCCCGCTGGACACGCTCAATGAGGGTGAAGTCTTTCGTGCGTCTTGAATACACAGCTTGGTTGGCGTACTCCAGGAGCGGTCTGATGTGGGCCCCATAGAGTATTTCGAAGTCCATGCGAGTAATACGGGAGAAGGTGCCTCGGATCATCCGTAAAATGGCGAATGCTTTTTGGGCCGATTTCTCAAGGTGCAGTGAGAAAGACAAGTTTGGGGAGACCCAGATGCCCAAATACTTTTTGGCATCTATCCTCATGATGTTTTCTGGTCCCTTTTTACCACGCACAACAAAGGCATTCACTGCAACAAAGGCATTCGCTGGCAACTATTTGAAGTACCCATCAATAATTTGTCTGCCTTCGTTTAGCCGCCGCCACTAACAACAACCAGCGTCACGTGGTGAGCGAATGAGCAGGTGAGGTTTGTGTCAATGTTCTAGTTGATCTGCGCGTTTGTTTGATATTAGACCCGACATGTTCTTGGTGCGGTAAACACACCGATCCCCCCAACTGTCCCAAATGTTTTCCAACTTTCAAAAAGCAGTATGATGTAGACACCTATGTTTACAGCACCACTTCTCCTCAGTCAACTGATCATAGTTCTTCACAGTCGTGTGAAATCATATTTTTAAACCTGACTTCATCCGAGCATTCGGCTATCCATAAGTAATACGACTGCTTAGGACTCGTAGAAGTCCGTGTACGGCTTCGGTGTGATAGTCATCAAAGGTGTCGTCACGAACATATATATGGCCCACGTACCTCAGCGTGGCCCTGGGTATTCATCAGGTGAGCGCAGGATCATTGTGCATCCTGTTAGTACCTAGTGAGGGCGGTTATCACGTCAGTTGACCACTGTGAATGTTTATGCCTCTGTTGGAGGCTTCGGAGTACGACGAACATCATTCTTGGCTTGAGCGTCAATGTCAGTTTATAAGACTTGGTCGCATGATACCTCGGTCATCTCTTGTTGCCTAAGAGCCGAGCGGTAAAACTTAATAAGCAGTTCTGTTTAACAGGGGTTAGCAAATCGGCAATGAATGGTTATCTGGTGTATACAACCCCCGGATGACCGCTATCAACCTTCTTAGATGCTTTAATTAACAAGATGGCTCTCGTTCTTTCGGGTTTCGCCGTCCATAGTGTTGCACCTCCCAGAACCTAGGTCACTGTTTGTCTACCACGGAATGTGGAAACCCATTGTCCCCGTTTCACTCCCTCCTATCCATTCGTTTGCACACGCAATCAGCGTTCCTATGGACGGCGAAGTGAAAACCCACTTGTAGCGTGTCATAAAGAAGGCGTTCTGTTCAGTAGCACCGCCTAAACGCTCCAATACTAATAAACCGGTCAGCCCAGAAATTCATGTTTTTTGAGAATGTGGTCATTTGGCCTTTTTCGGCATACAAACTCAAGCTTAGCTTGTGAGGATAATAGAACGCCAGATTATCTTCTGACCTCGACTATTTAGGGGCGATTGGATTTACCATATTTGTTGGTCATCATGTGGCTTATGGTTTATGCACTTCCGGTTGGGCCTTTTTGACTCGTGTGGTCAATCCATCATTGTCATATTCTGCGGACTTCAATGCTTGTGACGCTCATCCCATATCGTGTTGCGCTCTCATCGACGGAGGAATTTTGGGTACTAAAACTCACTGCGCATCCTATCGTACCGGCAACATCCAGGTCCGTATCCGTTCGGTATATGTGGTCTGACAGGTCCATGAGCAAATGTGATTAGGTGCGCTGCTGAAAAGCCTTTTAACAGATCAGAGCCCCATTGCTCAACTTAGCGCCTGCTCAACCCACACCCAAATTCACTTCTGCGCCTAGAGTACCATCCAAAAATTTAAATAATGCGGATTATCCCGTTTGGTGGCGTACAATTTGCAGAAGCCTGCAGCAGCTTAGAAGCAATTATTCATACGTGGTATGTTGGAACTTTCTGCTTTCAAATAGTCGACGAGCATCGAACTGCATATCTGAGAGTTTCCACAGAGAGCGTGCACCATCCATTGGTTTCGTTGACTATCCACTTCGCTGGAATTTTTTGTATGATTCCGTTTGTAGAAGCTCAGCTGTCAAAGCAGATTCATACGTTTCCATCGCAAAAGCAGTTTACCTGAAACTTGGTAAGCCCCGGTGAACGCTTCTCTACTGTTGACACTACCACGCTGCTTTGTTTACCAAACCCTATCGTCACCATCTGCTGGCCACTACCCTTTAAACCGTAACAATTTCCACTTGACCAGGATTGTGATGGAACACTTGCTGAGTGCACTGCCAAGGAGTTCCCGGCAGTTGCGTTGCACTGCGGGCGGTGAGACTGTCAGCATAGTCATACAGGTTGGAATCAGTTTTACTTTTGGTTTAGCCACTTACAAAAGTTCTTAAACGATTTTGCGCCGTGACGGTGCGCTCCGTGAATCTCACCTTCCGGTGTAATTTGGTTCTGGGTACGATTTTTAGTGGCAGCAAGGCTTATAGGCTGTGACGCTGCTGAGCCTTTCGGTGTCACCGTGTACGCTTTTCATCATGCATATTATTTTTACACCTATTAGGCCCTAGTATTACCTCCATGCGAATCAGCCGACTTGAAATCTGAACCGCATGTAATAATCGCTTACGGCAGAATAATTCAATGGCGGTGACTTTCTGGTCGAATAGTGAGGGGATGAATTTTAGTGGATACTCGTCGCTAACCCCCATCTGATTCCCTCAAAGCCATCCGCCCTGTGTCAATCAAGTGTATGCACAATAGACGAAGTTGTTTTCAGTTAAATAAAGCACGTTATTTCCAATCCGAATAACCAGCCTTCTGGGCGTATGTCACTCCAGTCACTTGAAAGTTGTGTTCATATTCCCACCGCTAAACATGTCCAGAACCACCTCACGTGTGAGCTATCCACCCATTCACATAGGAGCAAGCTATCGACAATCGCACGTGTTTTGTTGTGGTTCGCTGCGTTGTGTACAGTAAAATTTCCTATAAGCTGTTGGTTGTATGAAAGCCGGATCACCTGCGCCTTTCGACCAATCAGAACTCTGTAATTACGACATTGTTTCGATCGGAATGTTTGCCTAACGCAAACTGCGGTATATTCAATGGGTGGCTGTCCGTGACTCTCCATTCCCGAGGTGAACTGAATGATTCCAATAGAACTTCTGCACCTCCCTATCTCCGCTTGCTTCGGCTCGGCGGAGGATAAAATCGCTATTCCACACAGTCAGGGCTTGTTCATTCTGGTTAGTACTTTTTACTCCACCACCTGGGAGTATTTTGCATCCGCCAAAGTAACCAGTATGAGACCTAAAGCAAGGTTGTCTTTAGCTGCTTTGGTCGCTACTGACGCGCTGAAGCACAACGTGGGCTGTGTAGACAGGCCATCGGCCGTTTTGATCACCCATCGACTTTCCACTTTTGGAGCAGACCATTATTTATCGGGGCGCGTAGACTCCTTTTTTGAATAAGTATCCAATGAGGCAACGCACTTCGGCATTCTCCCATTTGCTGGAAGGATGTAGCAGGTTAATTTAGACATGGTAAAATCGTACTTGCTTTGCCTTCATCAAGATGAATTTTCATTAGACAGCAGTGAACGCGGACACTGGTTGACACAACATAAAGTCATTCGTCAGAACTTGCTAGCGAGGTTTCCCAAGAGGATTCATTCACACGTCTTTCGCTTCAACGGATTTCGGTTAAATAACTGACTTCGGCATTTTGAATAACGGCGCAGCGAAAACCAGAAAAACAACACAAATCACACGTTCGATTAAAAACATCACGGATGATATCTTTGTTCTGATCTCGATTAAATCTTCCTCTCTTTGTAAGATCCTCGCATGACTGAACTTCGTCGTTCCGTCCTTACTCAATCACCCTCGGGTGAAGATCGAGAAGGACTTAATCACATCTTTTCATCTTCACCCGAGAAGAAAATGATTAGTGCTCGGATTTACCGTGCTTTTTCAGCTGTAATAGTTCACTTTTTGGTGTACTTCCCGCTAAATTTCGCCGTAGAGAGGCATAGCCTTTCCGAACACTTACCAGTATCTTCCACAAAGGGATTGTTTCCGTTACTAATGGCAAGACAGTCAAGTGGAAGATTCATTACAAGACGTTTAAAGATAGTCTGTACGGAAATTCACGTCAGTTCTCCTGGACGAGGCCGCCTAGACATGCCTATATATGTCCACCTTAGCATCACTGACGGCAACGTCAAGTGAGGACACCGGTGCTTCACTGTCCCACAACCTTGTCAGTTTATTTGAATAAGAGAAGAAGTGGGACAGCGAGGGAGACCTAGGGCTAGTCTGAGACAAGGAACCGAGATGCCTCCACCTGCGACACTTATTCAGACAAACTGGATAGAAACCGACAGCATGAACGCCGCCGACATCGGTTAACCGCCTTATTGCTCCATTTCTCCAGCCAAGCACAAAATGGACCATGTGGACCCCATCCGTCATTCCGTCCACCTATAGGTCTCCGCCACTCCGAACTGGGCACGGAAACAACGCTCGTCTCGACAGGCAGTAACTCGGCATGCGTAGCACATAGCCCAGCGACCTTAGCCTGCATTGCTGGATGAGTCTTCTGAGTGAAGTGTCATCTGCTTAACGAAACTCGTTGCTGATCGCTTCATTGCAAATCCGTTACTTTCAGTCGATTACAGCTATATTTCAGAGACATCGGCAGTCGAAGTCCTGAAGATGTCTCAGATCCTTCACCCGAACCGGCTATCTCGCAGCCATACTACTACGGTCTGCACTGTGGTCCGGCAGACGTGCTCCCTGAGACCCAGCGATATACCCGTGCTGCAACGCAACTGCCATGAGTAGATTGAACCTTACCGTGATGTGGAGGTTTGTGTGCTTCCGACATACATTAAGATATAAATTAAGATATATGTACATTAAGATATATACTAATATACATTAAGATATACTAAGATATACCATACATTAAGATATACACTAAGATATACTACATTAAGATATACATACCTTTAGATATATCGTGGGACGCTCGAGGTCTCCCACACTATGTTGGTCAATGGTTAGAGGTCTGACCAATATATTCTTCCGGTCCTCGGGTTCGGAAATTGAAATGTGTGTAGCCAATGGCTCCTTAAAGATATAGGCTGCTCTGAAAGTCTCACACCGACCATCCTGCCTGGCAACCAGGCTTTTTAGCCGGAGGCTTTGTTGGCGAACCATAATCGTCCTCCTGTCTAGGTATGGGTGAGACCTTAAGAATGTGTCCGAGAATGAGTTGGAAGAGAGTCCGAGCTATGGAGGATAAACAACGTTTCGCTTGTCCAAGAACAAGCGTAGATGAGCTGAAATGTACATACAAAGATTCAGTACGAGTACATAGGGTAAATACAAGGAAACAAAAATCAACAGTAGGCACCCTTGTATTATCCCAGCCTGCGTACAGCCGTGATCACGATCGCCATGATCATGATCATGATCATTATCTTCAGCTATAGAAACAGAAGTAGAATAGGTGGTCGTTCGGCAGTAACACGCTTCCGGCGTCTACCCGCCATTCCAATGAAATGAAGCGCGAGGGCTGAGGTACTACCAGGTTCCCCGAGCATCGACTGGAGCAATCAAGATGTCGAGGTTGGGTTGGAACCACGGGCCTTCTGATCAGTAAGTTCGCGCCTTGACCACTGAGCTATCCCGTGGTGAAGAAACCGTGGTGAAGAAACCGGGGCGAGATGGCCGAAGTGGTTAGAGCGCGGATTACTAACCTGAAGGTCCGCGGTTCGAATCCGACCTCCGCCACTCGACTTCCCCTGTCTAGGCTTGGGCAACCTGGCAGTATCCCAGCCCTCGTGCTTCCTTCGGGTGGCATGGCAGCTAGGCACCGGAAGGGTGCTACAGCTGAACGCTTT